GGCCTCACTTTGGATGCCCAGAAGCAGACGAACGGGAAGAGGCTGGGCCGGACGGCGAAGGCTTCGGAGCGGGAGGAGAAGAGGACGGAACGCTTGGTGGGGAGGGATAGGGAGCCGCCCGGCGAGGACGGAAGCCCTGCTGTTGCCGAGAGGGACCACTTGAGGAGGGAGGACCCCGAGCTCGCAGGGCACGGTCCATCTGCGAGCGGCAGTCAATCACCAGCATAGAGTCACAAGTGCCCAACTCGGCTCCAGTTACCGAAGATCCTGCACGAAGTGATGCGGCAACCGCAGAACGGTGGAGCTGGTCGTAGAGAGCCGCGGTGTAGGGACCATGGAGCTCCACATACTTGGAACACCATACCAGGTGACCTAGGACCGCGGCCAAAGGCAGGTTGGTGGTCAAAAGGGCAAGGATGCACCATCTCACGAGTGACGGAACGAAGGCCGACGGACGGAAGTTTGGTTTGCCCGCCAAGGAGGTAGAGGCCCTGGAGGCAGTCAGGAGACTTTGGGGAGTAACCTCAGGAGAATGCGAGGGAGTGGTGTCCCCGAGGACGGAAAGGTTGAGCTCGAGTGTCGCAATGGTGGCTACCAAATGCTCCGCAGAACCGTTGCTAGTGACTGTATCGAGCAAGCTAGACGAGGGAATGACACGGCCGTCGAGACCCTCGAGATGACGGGCGCAGAGGGCTGCAGGGAGATCGAAATGGCACACCGTGCCAAACCCAGAGCGCGGAGGGTTGGGGTCCGCCGCGGCAGATCCAGAGGGAGGCAGACGGGCAGCTAGCAGACGAGTTACTGTACGAAGGATAGTTCGAGCCCCCACCCGCTCGGGACCTGGTAGTAAAAGCTCAATGTCCTCGCGAGTGAGCTCCTGGACGTTGCGAGGGTCCACCAGACCACCGGCCTGCAGACAGGTAGCAATAGAGTCCACTATTTCAGCAGAAGGGCGGAGGCTGAAAAGCGCAGCGTTGATTTCAGCCGCGAGTTGATCGGTCGCGGCAGCTTCCGGCACAAGGTGGGGGACCTCGTCGGATACAAGCAAGTCGGCCGTCACGGCATCCAAACGGGCGGGGAGCGACGGACCGGAGGACGACGAAGCCACCCGGCGGGACGAACGTCGAGAACCACGGTCAACCACAGGTGGAGGCTCGGGAAAAGCGGTAGAAGGAGATAGCACGGAGGAGGTGGGTGGAACAGCAGGCGCAGACATAAGAAGGACAAGTGCTGTAAAGTAGCGGGGTGCAGGCGTGCCGTGACTTGGCAGGACAAAGGGTGACGCGAGCGGTACAGCGCTTCCCACGTCACAGGAGACG